CGCACTGCGCCGCTGCCACCTATAGCATCGCAGCGTCCCACCGCACCCCGGCATCCGCTCCATTTCCCCTCCCCGCCTCTGAAACACCGTCGCCACGCGCACCACCTCTCTCCACCGTCTTTACCACCTCCAGCCGCCGCTTGGCGCCGCTCCTAACCACCCCAAGCAGCGCCGCCGCCGCCGCCGCTCGCTTCGCAGCGCCGAGGAGCACCTCGGCCGCCGCTTTTCACGGCCAGGATCCCGCCGGGACACGGTTCCCCTCGCGCCGGTGAGCATCCGCCGCCCGTTCTCACCTCCGACCAGCGATTCATGCCGCTGGGAGCCCTCTCTCCCCCTCCTAACCTCTCCCCCATCCTCCCCAGGTCCTTCCAGCCGCCGTCCGCCGGTTCCCGCTCGCGGAACGCCGCCGGGCCGCTGTTCCGCCTTCGTCCCGAGGAGCACCGACGCCGAGCTCCCCGCCTTTCCCCGCCCCTCGTCGCCGCGTCCTTGGTGAGCTCCTCGTCTCCCTCCTTGCCTCCCTCCTCTGTCTCCCGTGCGCGCTGCCGCGCCGGTGGCCGCCGCCGGTGACCACCTGGCCGTGCGCCGCCGCCCCGCTCGCCTGGGCCACCCGGACCCTCCTTGTCGCGCCGCGTCGATCTCGTGCGCCGCCGCCGCCCATGCGTGCCGCCTCTCCCGCGCCGCCCGTCGGTCGCCGTCTCCGGAGACCGCGCTACCGCCGCGCCATGGCTCAGCTAGGCCGGCTTTGTGCCGTGCTGTGCCCCAGCCGCGCCGCCCCTGGCCGCCCGATCGGCTTGGGCCGATCCGGACCATCGGTTCTCGTGGACCGGTGGTGGACCGCCTCGGTGGTCCCGGTCCACGGTGGACCGGCGCCCTTGTGCCGCTGACCGGTGGGGCCCGCTTGCCGGCGCCGCCCCTCCCCTTTGATGACGTCAGCAACCATCTTTTCCTTTGGAAAAATAAATAATAATTGCGTCATAATTCGTTAATAATTCTAGAAATTCATTTAAATGGCTCAAAACTTCTAAAATTCATATCTAATTCATTCGAACTCCGAATTGAGCCGTTCAGCTTGCAAAATTCATCTAAAATTGAGCTCTACATGTTTGTTTACTTTTTATGTACTGTTTCCTTGGTTTTTATTAGAGTTTTTCCTCGTTTTGCGTGCCAGCGTGTAGTTCCCGTCGTTTCGGAAGATCGCGTTCGCAGGGATAAGAGTTCAGAAGATCCAAGTGAAGAAGCAAGGCAAGTCACACATTCCCCTTGAGCATGTTGATCCCAATTTATAAATGTTTTACCGTTTACAAATAAATATGCATGTTTTGCTAATTACATGGGATCCGGGTATTACCTATCTGCTCGCTTGTGCCATGTTTACTTGATATCTGTTCTTTGTCAACCTTGGGTAATGAATCGACTAGCTCATGTTACTTATGTGACCTAGCTAGAACTATATGCTTAGCCATGCTTAATTACCACTAGCTCAGTTGATGGGATAATTACAGTATTAGACCTTTTTAGTATCAGAGTGAGCTGCGTGCTCGAGACATCTAGCCATGCTTCATGGTCGTAATTATCCAACTAAAATGCGACTGAATGGTGGGCTGTGGGTGCATGGTTTTGCTAGTCGCACCCATGTCAATTAAGGACCGGTTCGCGGGATGCCCTGGAAGAACTTATCGTACTTACCACAAGCCAGCGTGGGCAACGGCTGGGCTTGTAGTGTAGCTTTCCTCTAGCCGACGCATCCAGGCAAGGGTGGGCGTGATGGAGCGGGGCGGGCCCTGGGACGGCCTCTGTCGCTTCCGGATTCACCTAGGCACGAGAGGGGACTGCCCGTTGCCCGCTGGGGATGGGGGTGAAACCTGAGGTGTGGTGTGCTTGGTTAGAGGGGGTTATGCGAAGGGTCCTGTCACGGCCTCTTTCCGGTATGTCGTGGTGACATGTCGGCGCACGGTAACGTGTCATGGGGCTGTGTCTTGTGGGTACAGTTGTACACCTCTGATCAGAGTAAAACTATTCGAATAGCCGTGCCCGCGGTTATGGGCGGTCGACCAGATTCACCGTGATTAGTCCCATCTTAATAAATCGACCCAATACACTGTAGTTCAGGTGGGTTGGTTGGGCCTATTCAACTTGGTGTAGCGTTGATCAGTGGAGATTCAATATTACTTTAATTACTCAACAGTTTTACTGTTTTGCTCAATAAAATGTTTTACAACTGCCTTTATGCAAATAGCCACAAACCCCTCCTTGTATCCCCTTGCACGTCTGCATCGTTGGTGTGGCTTGCTGAGTACGGTGGTTGTACTCAGTCTTGCTATTATTCCCCCTTTTCAGAAGTGTAGTGCTTCTGAGCTGAAGATGGAGTTAGAGGACCAAGGCTCAGATCCCAGTTGAGTTTTGCCTGTGGAGTGGAGCTGAAGCCCCGCTAGGATCGCCTTTTTCCGCTGCTGTCGTTCTGTTTCTGTGTGAGGACTAAGTGCCTCTTCCGTAAGTATTTTACGCTTTATTTACGTTTGGAACTGTATATTACTTGTCATTTTGTGTACCCTGGCTGGTCCTGGACAGGGATTTAATACGCAAAATAGTCTGGAAATTTGGGTTAAATTTCTGGGCGTGACAGCCACTGCCTTGCAGACCAAATCATCACCACAAGAGAGCTCGATGTACGTACAAATAAATTCAAAATTTCATTACGTAACGATTTCTTGTTTAATTACTAATCAATTTCATACATTCATATAGTTTATTCGCATGAGGGATAACCTGACCACACACAAGGAATTTATCGCGGCGGTTCAAGAACAACTCATGGGATTCATCAACGAAGAAATCCTTGATCCCAAGGGTGAATTCTACTACGACGGAAACACAATTCACCGGTCCTTAGCTTCTGAGCTAGCAGCAAGTACTACTACTACGTCGAAATCGTAGCTAGCTAGGACATATAATGGATTGTAATTAATACATGACTACATATGTTTCTATATGCATGTGTACACATTTTCTATAATATAAATATATTTTGGTCATATATATATATATATATATACACACACACATATGCATTTGCATAACATATATATGTATAAATACATATATATTATGCATGTACATATGTACTGAACCATATATATATATATGTATATGTATATATATATATATGTATATATATATATGTATATGTATATATATATATGTATATATATATATATGTATATGTATATATATATATATACACACACACACACATGTACATATATGTATGTATGTATGTATGTATGTATGTACGTATGTATGCATGTATGTATGTATTGAATCATATATATGCATGGTTTATATATATATAAAAAGGTCAACTCGATCTTTAGTCCCGGGACTAAAGATGGCTCAGCCGGCCACGTGGCTGAGGCATTACCAACCGGGACTAAAGATAGCGATCTTTAGTCCCGGATTGGTACTCCCGGTTTGGAAACCGGGACTAAAGGGGGTTACAAACCGGGACTACAAAGGGTTTCTCCACCAGTGTTTCTTAGTCAACTTTGATGTTCTCCGCCTCCATAAACTGGCTGTGTTTAGATTGGCCCAAAGTTTAAAATTTGGTTGAAATTGGAGACAATGTGACTGAAAAGTTGTGTGTATAAAATGTTTGATGTGATGGAAAGTTGGAAGTTTGAAAAAAAAACTTTGGAACTAAACACACCCATTGGCTAAAAGGGTGTAGAAAAGGCTAAAAATGTCCCAAAGTAAGGGTGTGTTTAGTTCACGCTAAAATTATAAGTTTGTTTGAAATTGGAACGATGTGATGGAAAAGTTGAAAGTTTATGTGTATAGGAAAGTTTTGATGTGATGGAAAACTTGGAAGTTTGAAGAAAAAGTTTAGAACTAAACAAGGCCTAAAAAGCACGGGCTAAATAAATTAGCGAGACGAAGCTTTAGTTACAAAAGAAGCCTTAAACTGAAATTCACTAAAAACAATTTACCACGTAGCCTAGATGATTTTTGTTTTAAAAGAAATACGTGTGAGCCTGAAAGAGGGTGCATCCTTTTTTTTAGAAAATAATTTATTTAGGCATCATTTGATCGGATTGAAGGATTTGTGGAGAAAAACGTAGAATTTGAAATTCAATAGGAATTGTCGCTATTCCACCTTAGAAGCTAACAAATGTGTATAAGAAAAAAAAACAAAGAACTATACTTTGTTTTTTCAATCCTTTGAAAAGCCCAAGTCAAATCAGGCTAGCTCTAAATGATCAATTCCTTTCAAACAACACTTTCGTTTTTCAATTATCTATTTTATTAAGCACAGATTCCCATTATATTACTATATTTTCGTATCTTTATGTGCTTGTCTATGTTCCAACCTTATTCTAAAGAAGCCTTCGTACGAAAACAATGGAGACTATAAAAGATGTTCACGTGGAACAATCAAATAAGGTTTGAAAAGAAGGGATGAATTTGTATGGGACAAATTTCTTGGAGATGGCCGAATTTTCGTTGCATGTATCAATTTTCTGTCCTTACAATTTTTCTATAAACTTAAGTACTCATACTAGTCAAATAAAATTATCGATATTATGTTCGGTTTTCCTTCATACACTTATCCCATATACACTTTTCAATTCTAGGTTTTTAACACTATTATCCGATATCCCTACTGCCAAAGTTTCACCCGTTCATACACTTATCCCATATAAAAATATTTAATCCCTCATATCCTTGCAATTAAAAGAACTGATACGTAAAAAAAAATGGCAAAAAAACAAATGACAAAATACCTCTAGAGAAAGACCGATTTAACAAGATCCATTGTAACCCACGAGCATAAGGCAGTGTTTGTCAACTACTTTTCTAACTTTTTACTATGTTTTTCGCACGTGCACTTTACAAACTATTAAACTGTGTATTTTTTTAAAAATGATTTTATAAAAATTTGTTTTAAAAATCATATTAATATATTTTTTAATTTATTTTAGCTGGTGCTTATCTAATCGATCGCTCCGTTTTGAGTGCTGCGAACGCAGAGACTAGACTTTTGACCACCGCGTGAGTCCAACCCTTCACGGCGAGGGAACCATGACGAAAACTAGCGATCCCCTCCTGAATCCCCCGGCGCCGGCGAGCAATCGCGGCAACGGCGGCGTGCGCCGCGTCCCGTGGGCGTCCCTGATCGGCTTCGTCGCCCTCGCCATCAACTTCGCGCTCTGCATCTACCGCGCGGAAGGGGATCGCGGCGCGATCGCGTTTGTCACCTTCGCCTATCTCAACCTGCTGCTCCTCTTCTGGTGCATCCGCCAGTTCGATCAGGCGCCGCACGGATCGGCGGCGAGGGGCCGGATCAGGGCCGCCGTCTGGATCCTCGCCACATCGCTCACCGCCGTCTTTACATGGAAGGTGGCGGCGCTGATGCCGCTCCCCGTCGCCGCCGTGGCGTGGGTCATGGCCGCGGCCACCGTGGTCGGTGGATTCTACGGCTTCTTCATCCATGAGGACAAGTGATCGATCGATCCATGATCGGATGATCAAATCGCAAAATCGGAAAAGATTACTGCTCCATTGGGTCTACTGCTTTTATGGCTTCAGGTTGTATATCGGTCAGGTTAATTATGTGGTGGTTGATATCGACTCGATCGCCGGATGCACTGTGAGAGTGTTGCATATCATAAATAAATGAAGTCTGGTGCTATATGCATTACAACATGATTTGTTTGGTCTTACTTGTATATGTATGTGTTGATTTCACCTGGACATTTCAAGGTCTATCTCACATTTTCTCCTCGATTGCATTACAGGGGGAAAAAGTGCAGGACAAGAACATACGTCTAATGTTTATATGGTTTCAGGTTGAGCCGGCCTCGATCGTTTCTCTGATGCTTGCTGATCATAAGTAAATAAATTGAGTCTATACATCAATGGTACTGGTGCTATGTGCATTACAACATCATGCTATTTCTCTTAATTTATTTGTATTACTTGTATATATTGCTCATTGCAACCAGAAATTTCAGTCTCTCGATATCATTTTCACCTAGATTTCAGAGGGGAAAGTGGAGGGTCTGATGAGCTAGCAGCAGAGTGGCAGGGGCAGTGAACATAGTTCATGTCCTGAAGACACTAACGAACAGAGATTCTTGAGCATTTCCTCACTTATAGCATTACATTTTCAACCCAAGGATTTGGACGGTTTTGACATTCAGGTATATATGTGCTGCCATTGTGTCGATATCATCTTTTTTACTGACCTTGGATACGACGGTGTGGTGGTTCAACAACTTTGGTAGGGTTTTGAGCAGCAGAAGTCAGTAGATGTCATGATAGTTAGCTAGGGAGATTAGAAAAATTTTTTTTTAACCTTTTCCCGGTGATAGTCGGTTCAACGGTGTGCAGCCATCTAAGACAAGAAAGAGCATCCAAAGGATTTCTATCGTACATCACTCTTTTTTTTAAAAAAAAAAGGTAGAAAAGGCTGAAGTTCTGATCCATTTCATCGATAAAGAAGAGATACGCATCGTTCCAAGAAAATGTTCAGCCCCAAAACACCATCATTTCTATCATGCATCTACAAATCTTATGTTGTTTCTTACTCTAGATGTTTCAAACAATCAATGCTGCTTGCACAAGAACACAATTCACCAATCACCATGCTGTGATATAAGGAATGCAACAGAAAGACAAAAGGTGACCACACCTCTTTCCATTCTTTGTGCACTGAACGATCATGTCTATCAACTATCAGGCCTTGTTTCGTTTACGCCTAGATTCAATCCGAGCCGGGAATGACAAGTATAATAAAAAATTTATAATAGATACAATAAGAGACCGGGATTTATTCTGGGCCGGAAACCAATTTAGTCATGATAGGTACAACAGAATATCCGGATTAGTTCCACACCTCTTAACTAGTGGATTGATTCCCGGTCTCTTATTGTCCCTATCATAAGTAAATTGATTATCAGTCCAGAATAAATCCTGGTTTCTTATTGTATCTATCATAAATTTCTTGCTACACTTCATTTCTGGTCCGGATTGAATCCGGGTGTAACCGAACAAGGCCTCAAGGTAGGAACAAAGCTGTATGCTGCTTTCTGTGGCCGTTGCGGCAGCAGCTGCATGTGTTGCAGCTTCCAATGACTTGCATATGGGCTGGCTTTCATGTCAGGTTTCCAACTGGGCAAAGTAGAATTAGTCATATGATCCGGCCGGCGATATGATCAGCACTAGCTAGCTGCCTGTTTCCAGCGAAGCTAACGATAGTATCGATCGATGATCCCAGAGTCGTGCAGAACAAAGCTGGATGCACAAAGTAGATGATTATTCCAAAGGGCTGGCTCACATCGAGCTTTTAGTTAGCTGTGTCCAATCAAATGATCCTGCGGCTTCTTGCTCCTAGCTGTGAAAGACGTACTCCATGTTAAGTTGCAGAATCTTCAGTGGAAATGCACGTCGTGACAGCTAATTTTTAATAATTTTTTGTTTCAACATTTTCACAAACAAAACTAAGGCCCTTTTTAATTTTTTTCTGACAGAAATAGAATTGTGTTATGTGGAAATACGAACTCTACGTTTTTGGCGTACGATTCACACAATAAGATATATATTTTACAGTCCATAAAAAAGTATCTATAGACTATACTAGATACTAAAATTTGAGAGATCTATATGACACTACTAAATTTTACACTATAAAATATAATACTAATACATGTCAGTATCTTATTAAAGATGGTATAATTATCTGCTTATAATACCTACAACAACAACAAGCGTTGTCATGGAAGGACAACACGAGTAGTCTCTACAACGTTCATGTGCAAAGGTGGCATGTACTAGCCCATTACAAGGAGCAGCCAATTTCAACGTGGCCATAGCCATTCGTAAAATATATAAGTAACTATTAGCGTGATTAAGCTCGTCCGAACAAACGTTGTTAATCAGGTATCATCCAATTATTTATCACATATTAATCCTGCGAACGGTGTCATGTTTTCCTCCCTGTACGTGTGCTTAAATATGGGCCGCTAATTATCGGTCGCATGCATGGATACGTCGCCATTTGCATCTGTTGCGAAATAAGTAGAGTAATGCGGAGTGGGACATGCTCAACCGGTCAGGTGGTTTTCTTGGGTACAGACTGAAGAGACAGCGACAGCCCTCCGTCCCATTATTTTAAGTGTAGCTATGTTTTCATACTAAAATTCTATCGTCCGTCTTATTTATAATTTCTTTTAAAAAAATTAAAAATATAAGTCATGTATAAAGAACTATTCATATTTTATCATCTCATAACAACAAAAACACTAATTATAAAAGAAATTTAAATAAGACGGACGATCAAAATTGGACACGGAAACTCATGGTTGCAGTTAAAATGGGACGAAGGGAGTACTTCTAAGCAAGTAGTAATAGGAGTAATCGTCCCATAAAAAACAAATCTAGCACGGGATATGATATTGCAAATTTAAATACTACACTCACTTCGTCCCATAAAAATTAAACATAACACATGATATGATACGTCTCAGTACTATGAATTTGAATAGAATACTATCCAGATTCGTAGTACGTCACATACCATACTAGATTAAAAAATCGTCCCATAAAAATTAAACATAACACATGATATGATACGTCTCAGTACTATGAATTTGAATAGAATACTATCCAGATTCGTAGTACGTCACATACCATACTAGATTAAAAAATCGTCCCATAAAAATTAAACATAACACATGATATGATACGTCTCAGTACTATGAATTTGAATAGAATACTATCCAGATTCGTAGTACGTCACATACCATACTAGATTAAAAAATCGTCCCATAAAAATTAAACATAACACATGATATGATACGTCTCAGTACTATGAATTTGAATAGAATACTATCCAGATTCGTAGTACGTCACATACCATACTAGATTTTTTTTAATGAAGAGAGTAATACTATTATGTTACTGTCATCCTGCTTAAAATGTATGTGCCGTTGCATATAAATTACATCCTCCGTTTAAAAAAACCAACTTCAAAAAACACAAACTAAATATGCTTATTATCTCAAGAAATTTGGTTTTTTTTTGACAGAGAAAATGTCTGTACGGATTGACTTGTAAATCACGCCCTCTGTCTAAACAAATTGAGAGCATGAATCTAGAAAGATGGAATTATAAAGGTTTGGTTTAGGACGGAGGGTTTTTTTTAAAGATAGAGGGAGTAAACTAGATAACTTATTAATCAGTGCTTACTCAGTGGACTAGGTAGGTCGATCTCAAATGTTATTATTTACTTTCTACGGTCTTTTTAATTCCTTATAATTCAGAACATGGGCATAGGTCTATGGTCCCGTTCTTAGTAGCTCATTGATTTCCCCGCACAATTTTATACGTGTTAGTTAAATTAGATTTGTTATACAACTCTTAGCTTATACTATACGCCGTTAACTTTTAACATGATTTTGATCATTCATCTTATTAAAAAAATATCATTTATTTTTTTACTTATTTTATCATTAAAGAAACTATAATCTCAACATATTCTTTTCACATATTCATTTATATTAAACTTTTTATACTACCCCAGGAGTTTGGCCTCACAGTTTTTTATTTTTTTTCATATTCACTTAAATGTGGGCCCTACTTCTAATTTGTGATTAGGCTAGCGCATCAGCACAAGTGGACCAAATCAATGTGCCACATCAGCAAAAACCACTCTTAAAACTGTTAATGGAGCCAAATTGCATCGATTTTAATATCACGATTAGGAGATACAAATAATATATACCTATATTATTTGGGGGAGTAAATGTGGACTTAGTCCTTCCAGCATTGATCTGCTAACAGCCCACATGATTGCGGAGACCGGTATGGGAGACGAAACCGCGTGATCTGGTCTGAGGGTTCGACTGTTCGAGTCGGTTCGAGGCCCAGGAGCATTGGTAGTAGTACTACGTATAAGCAACGTCAGTGAATGCGTCAGTACCTCAAGGTGGATAAGCTATAAGAAGTAGTCGAAGACGAAATTAAGTACTACTACTACAATTAATACATTTTGTGTAACATTTGTACATGTACAATGGTTTATGTATATATAAAGTAAAGCTAGATATGTATATATACATGTGTAGAAAGAACCAAACATTTGCAATATCCAATAGCTAGCAGCCAGTACGTAACGATATTTACACAGGAATTAACTGTTCCATTGCTTCAGCATGTCGATCGATCGATCGATCATTTTCAGTCTACGCCGGGATGATGAAGGAACAAGGCGTAGAATCCCCCAAGAACAGTTGAGGCGGCCATCACCCAAATAATCGCATCCACCGGCCACGGCATGAGCGCGGAAACCCTCCACGAGAACACCGCGGCGAGCAGCGCCGTGACGACCCATACGCCGGCCTTGGCGCCGCCCCTCGCCGGCGAATTCCGCGGCGCCGCCTCGAAGCGGCGGAGGAACACGAAGAGCAGCACAAGGCTGAGGTACGACACGACGATGAACGACGTCTCGGTGATTTCTCCGTGTGACCTGTGGATCGCAGCGATCGAGCTTGCTGTGAGGAGGATAAACCCGATGCAGGTCGTAGCAGCTTCTGATGCCATGAAACGGATCGGAGTAAAGAGTGACGTCGTCTGGACGTCCGATATATTATATAGCCGGCGACAAATACTGGAAATGGGATCATGGTTTGTTAGCATGCATTTATAGGCCGCGCTTGCCTGCGCGTCGGGTTGAAGTTAGGTCGGTGCATGTATGGCCGAGTTTAGTTTCAAACTCCCAACTTTTCCATCATATCAAAACTTTTCTACACACACAAACTTCTACTTTTTCATCACATCGTTCCAATTTCAATCAAATTTTCAATTTTAGCGTGAATTAAACACACTTGATTCTCAAGCTTACGGTTGTCATCAGTATGATATGATTAACGAGTGGATGTATATCGATACGCATGACGAGGTAATGATCCTTTTTGAACGGAACGAGGTAATTAATGATTGTTGGTTCTCAAGCTTACTGTTGTCATCTGTATATTCTGTAGCAGTATACCATGTAAAAGATTTAGTCTTATGATAATTTCTCACACTATCATTATAACAAACTGAAATATATATATGTTGCTAATATTCCTATAAACTTATAATTTTATTACTATAGTTACAGTTTTCTAAAGTTTACTCTTTAAAAAATACAGTATATATGTCGGTTTCCCGGTGCACTACGGCCCCATTAGTAATTTACTCGTCGGTTCGTACGGCCCTATTAGCATGTATGTCCGCCGTTCGTTTGGCCCACTAACAGCATATTAAACATGTGGATAGGATCTTCAGTGAGGGCCAGCACAACACGGACCATTAATCAATGGCGGTTCCGGGTAACACGCTGAGTCAACGCGGGATCAGCGACCGACGATTTGGTCACGCGCTCCAAGCTACGTAACCATATGATTACAGTTATTCTTTACTTCTAACGTAGGCTGTGCTTAGCTTGGGGGTCTGATCGGTCCCGCCCCCATAGACACTCCTCCCACTTCTCCCCTTTCTCCTCCCCTTCTTCTCCTCCTATTATAGTACACCAAAAAAAAAATTAAAAAACAAAAAGTTAGAAAAATTTATGTATAAAAAATTTGAATTCAAATTCAAATTTAAATCGGGTATGTAAACTTTTGACTTATAAACTTTGAATCTATAAACTTTAGGTGTATAAACTTTAGATATATAGAAATACTATATATAGAAAATATTTGAATTATTTGAATTCAAATTCAAATTTGAATCAGATATAATTCAAATTCAAATTTGAATCGGGTATATAAACTTTAGGTGTATAAACTTTAGATGTGTAGAAATACTATATATGAAAAATATTTGAATTTAAATTCAAATTTGAATCAGATATAATTCAAATTCAAACTTGAATCGGATATATAAACTTTAGGTTTTTAAATTTAGGTGTATAAACTTTAGATGTATAAAAATACTATATATTAAAAATATTTGAATTCAAATTTAAATTTGAATCGGATATATAAACTTTTGGTCTCTAAACTTTAGATGTGTAAATTTGAGATGTATAAACTTTAGGTGCATAAATTTACTAAAATAGGAAAGTAATACGGTGCCAAAAAAGGAAACCAGGTAGAGGGAGGGAGGGGGAGGAGGGTTCCCGTGCTTAGTTCCCTTCAAACTTCTAACGTTTTCGTCATATCAAATGTTTGAATACATGTATGGAGCATTAAATATAGATGAAAAAAACCAATTGCACAGTTTGTATGTAAATTGCGAGATGAATATTTTGCGCCTAATTACGCCAAGATTTGACAATGTGGTATTATATCATGATTTGACAATGTGGTGCTACAGTAAATATTTGCTAATAACGGATTAACTAGGCTTAATAGATTTGTCTCGCAGTTTACAAGCGAAATCTGTAATTTGTTTTGTTATTAGTTTACGTTTAATACTTTAAATGTACGTGTGTATACGTTAATTTTTTTTCGAAAACAACTAAACACGGCCATAATCAAAAGAAAATTATATTTATTTTATTTTTGACAATAAACATTACTAATATCACTAGTACAGTAGGAATCCTCTTCTCATACATTTCTCACCAAGTACAGTACACGCCACACGTCACTGCTAATTTAATTGTCACCGCAAGCTTCATGCATTTCAGCAATTTTGAAGCCGCGGCGATGCTGCATGCAGTAATTTTGGGGCGCACAGAAATAAATCACTGGCACGAACAAATTAAATGGTCATCCCGCGCGCCGTGTGCTTGCCCGGCGCGATCGATGGAGAGGCGCCGTATCAAATTAGCAAATTAATTAGCAGGAGTACCGAATTAATTTCAACATGGCAAAGGTTAACTAGCTGTACTGTTTACATAATTAATCATCAAGAAACTACTCCTAGCAAGCATTGCTTTTACATGAAGCACGGAGGGGGAGATAATGCCAAACATGAGTAGCGGCCGCGTTGAGCAGTTGAGCACGCCTACGCAACTATTTGGATATATATACATTGGGACGTGTTGACTGAGCAGTGAGCACAAAGAGTCACGGCAACGCTTGACCTGTTGAGTACGGATGGTCTCCCTGGCTAGATGATCATCAGGGTGTTTTCCTTGTAATTATCTTATGGATAAGTACCAGAGTTGAAAACTCTTACACAAGAGTACAAGACATGTCATTCTTCAGAGCCTATCCCCTCACAACGGCTGAGTATACAACACAACTCTTAACCATTAATCCATCACAATATTTTTTTTATTACCCTTCTTACGAGAAAGCAAAATTCCTTTATGAAAGGTAATAAATGATTTTAAATTTAACATTGATGTTTTTTCTTTCCTCTCCCCTCGCTCTCTCATGTTATCAAATTTGTCTTGTTAGTTAGTAAAGCTACGAGCATTTGATTAAAAATTGTGGTACATGTCCTAAGTGAGACGTTTCATGTCAACCCCTTATTGTTTTGTAGTGCGGTGGAGAGACTGAAATGAGCTCGAGGAAATCGAAAAGAAAACACAGGAACGAGGAAATAGACACGACGTCAGATTACAGTCTCCAGAGAACTCGCTTTGATGGACGATAGGATAGACATGCTGATATGGCCACCATGATCAAATAATGTATCAAAATTATGGGAGACTTGTATCTATGAGAGCATCTAGACTCTAGTTTCCTTTTCCACATCTTTATCTGTCAAATTTTGATTTCGAACCATCTGATCTTAGTCTAATGGTTACATTACTACTACTCCCTCCCTCTCTAGACCCTTTTATCCCTCTCCAACCTCACCATCTTTTCCAAACTATTCAAATTAGTCATATCTAAACTGCACTATACTAGAACCGGAGATACACTGGTGACGTCTTTTTTTCCCTCAGAACCAACATTCCTCTACCTTTGACACCCTTTCCATCATCGCAAGCATGATGACCCTCCTGTTAGAATAATTGGGCTAGGCTCGATTTATCCTATTAAAATCTCAAAGGCCCATAATAAGTGTGATAATAATACCACCTTAGGATTTAAGCGAGGACTATCTCAACCTAAATAGGGAGTTATTGGAGACTCCCTGTTGACCGGTTGAGGTGGGAGTCGGAAAGCCACACGCGTGCGCGCCGGGCCGAGGCCGTGGCCGTGGCTGGCGTCACGTCACGTCGCTATTCTTTTGCAACCACGATCCCACGTTCCCACGACTGAACGATCACAACGATTCGCTTGCTTCTTTCCCGGGTGTTAGTTCTTCCTCCTCCGCGCTTGTGCTGTTCTCGCTTCTGATCGCTTGCGCGCACGAGCACACCTTCGCCTGAGATCTGCACCGGGTAGGCGGGTGATCAGGTTTTTGGGGAGTGCTTCTCACACGACTGCTCGTCCACCATGTCTGCGCCTGGAGCCGGAGCTTCCGATGGTGCGCCTGGAGCTGGAGCCGGAGATGGTGCGCCTGGAGCTGCGAACGTCAACACCAACGGAGGCAATTTTGCCTCACAATCCAGCGGAGGGCCATTCTCGGGGTATATCCTTCTCCTGCTGTTAACTCATTCGTTCATAGCGCTGTTAGTCCTGTTAGTCGCAAGTCAATTGCGTTCTTGCTTATGATACCTTTAGCATGCTACTGGTTATGCTACATGTTGTCACTAGATCACCCCACACTGTTTATGCCATGATTATTGTCTTAACATTTTGGATTAAAATATGCCGATATATGACCATATTTCCAACACTCCAAAAACCTGATAGGTCATTTTCGGTAGTTGGCTTTGCTGCTGCACTGAAACCACATGCTTTTGATGGTTCTAACTATAAGAGATGGAAAGCACGTGCACTATTGTGGTTGACAGCGATGTAATGCTTCTATGTTTCACGGGGCAAACGAAGTGAACCACCTCTTTCTCCTGAGGAAGAGGCTAAGTTCGAGGCTTCGGATTGCCTGTTCCGTGGAGCATTGATCAGTGTACTCGCTGACAACATAGTGGACGTGTACATGCACATGCCTTCCGGGAAGGACATGTGGGATGCACTTGAGGCCAAATTCGGAGTTTCCGACGCCGGCAGTGAGCTGTATGTCATGGAGCAGTTCTATGACTACAAGATGGTCGATGACCGTTCTGTAGTAGAACAAACTCATGAGATTCGGATGCTGGCTAAGGAACTTGAGAACAACAACTATGAGTTGCCGGACAAGTTTGTGGCAGGTGGCATTATTGCCAAATTGCCACCTTCTTGGTCAGACTTTGCCACTTCTCTAAAGCACAAGAGACAAGAGTTCAGTGTTTCTGATTTCATTGGCTCTTTGGGTGTTGAGGAGAAGGCGAGGGCAAAGGACGTCCGGGGCAAAAAGGTTGAGGGAGGTTCTAGTGCCAATATGGTACAGAAGAAGAACCCTCATGCATCCCACAATAACAAGAAAGTCAAGCATGATGTCAAACCCAAGGCTGCAACCAACTTTAAGAAGAAAGGCAAGGGAAAGGCAAAGGGAGACTGCTTTGTGTGTGGCAAGTCTGGGCATTGGGCCAAGGACTGTCCTGAGCGCAAAGACAAGAAGTCTGCCAACATGGTCATTAGCGAGGGAGGAGGAATATCGGGGTACGGTAAAATATTACCTACAGTTCTCTTTGTTTTTCACTCACCTGATTGGTGGGTGGATACTAGTGCTAATATTCATGTATGTGCTGACATTTCTCTGTTTTCTTCTTATCAGGTCGGGAGAGGTTCCTCCTTGTTGATGGGAAACGGGTCGCTTGCGGCTGTTCATGGTGTTGGTATGGTCGATCTGAAGTTTACTTCGGGAAAGACCGTGCAGCTGAAGAACGTGCAGCATGTCCCTTCAATAAAGAAGAATCTTGTTAGCGGCTCTCTACTGTGTAGAGAAGGTTTTAGACTTGTGTTTAAATCCAATAAATGTGTCGTATCTAAATATGGGACTTTTGTTGGAAAAGGTTATGACAGCGGAGGCTTGTTCCGCTTTTCTTTGAATGACATGTGTAATAATCATAATGTTGTGAACCATATTAGCGAGAATGATGAGTCTAATGTGTGGCATTCACGACTCTGTCATGTGA